GTCTGTTCAAATCCCTCTGAAGAGCCTCCCTTCCCTCTAGCAGATCAACACAGCCTCCCAGCTTGGTGTCATCCGCAAATTTACTGAGGGTACATTCAATCCCCTCATCCAGGTCATTGATAAAGATGTTAAACAGAACCGGACCCAGCACTGAGCCCTGGGGAACCCCACTGGTGACCGGCCTCCAGCCGGATTTAGCCCCATTTACCACCACTCTTTGGGCCCGGCCATCCAGCCAGTTTTTAACCCAAAGGAGGGTGTGCCTATCCAGGCCAGCAGTTACCAGTTTCTCAACCAGAACACTATGAGAAACTGTATCAAAGGCTTTACTGAGGTCTAGGAAAACTACATCCACAGCCCTTCCCTCGTCAACCAGGCGGGTCACCCTGTCATAGAAGGTGATCAGGTTTGATTGGCAAGACCTGCCTTTCATAAACCCATGTTGACTGGGCCTGATCACCCGGTATCAGAGAGATATGTCAGGCTTGTATTTCTACTTTGATCTGTTCAAAATGTTCTACAAAACCAAAGCTTGGTTTACATCAGAGCCAGCAATCCCCAGTAAAATGTGTAGGCTTTGTGTTGAATGGAATATGAAATCTGGAGTCACTTAAATGGTGAGAACTATTTTTCAAACGCAGAAAACAGTTTCTGATCTGCAAAGATATCAAATCATTGTACTGAATACATATGAAAGCGTCTCTATGCATGTTTACTGGTCTTTTAAGATTACATCTGTATTGAAGTAATTTTGCCTCAGATACATTTTTTTTTATTAACCAGTTTATTCTCAAAAATACTTCTAGGTTGCGGCTTGTAGAGATACAGGGTATGATTGGTTTGAACAGCTTCTTCAAAATGTAAGTAATGAATTTTGAATGTATGGTACAGTCATTGTTAGAAATTTAACATTTCCTTTGGTGCTAAAACACAGAGAAGGGGGACTGTAAGACCAGTCCTTTACAGTAGACAAATTCAATTCATGCCCTTAAATATCTGACCTTACCTTTAAATATCCTTTAAATATCTTGGGTTTTTTTATCTTCATTGGTGCGATTTTCTCTGTCTCTGGCATTAGTTTCTGTCTTTCCATATCTTCTGTTTTAAAAGTACAATCACTTCTTGGTTTTGGGAGGGGTTTTCTTTGTTTGTTTGTTTTTAATTTCATAGTCTCTTCAGTAATGAGTGGCATAACGTGAAGTCCACAGCTAAGCTACCTAATTCTGAAATGAAGCAACTAGTGTAATGTGGGGGTTTTTTTTAAATGGTAGATAAGTGAATTTTCACATACAGTGTATTTGTTACACAGTGTATAGAAGCAGTGAATCTTTTGAATTCAGGTTGTTTCTACATTATATTTTACTCGTATTTTTCTAAGAATTGAGCTTGCTTTGTTTATATCTCTTAAGCTCTGTTACCATTCTCCTCTACATCTTTTATGCATTGGTTCATTTTCAAGCGAAAAAACACTTTTGATTTTACTTTATCCTGGAGTGCCATGAAAATAGTTAGCCGAGTAAACCAGAGCCTCTTAATGCCTGCACTGAGGAAAAGGCTATAGTGTGATCTCAGTCCTTCTTAGACAGTGAAGGATCTTCATGGACACAATCTCAGTACCTGAAATCATATGGGAGGAGGCTAACTGATTAAAATGTTCATAAAACTATGTTTCGTCTTCGTTTGGTATTTTTGCTTAGTGTCAAAACCAACATTCCTTTTGAATTTGCTCTGTTGTTTTTCCCTGTTTTAAAAGCCTTCTAACTCCTAGTAGTTACTGCTGGCAATTATGACTACATTATTGTTCTCTGCATTAATTCATTAAGCACAAAGTTAGCTTTCATCCCAATGCAGAAATGAGTAGATCTTTCCTCTTCTGTTTTCTTTATTCCAGTTAATTTTTCTTTGCTTCTCTTGCATTTTGATTTTTTATTTCCCTTAATTTTTTCTTCACTACGTAACTTTTATGTAGAAGTTAAATAAATACTTTTGTAGTGTAAAATCCTTGTGTATCTGTTGTAATTGTTATTAAACCAGCATGTATCCAATGTAAATGAACGCACGCTTAATACTAAATCATTATCTGTTTCATCTGCTACAGCTGTTGAAGTCAGAAGAGGATGCCTCATATAAACCTGTGAAGAAAGCCTGTACTCAACTTGTTGACAATTTGGTTGAGCACATTCTTAAATATGAGGAATCTTTATCAGGTAATATTATTTACCACCCGGTAGCTAAAGTCCTCTGAATTTCAGATGATACTGTAACGGTTGTTCAAATTAATATTGCAAAAAGTTGCCATTACAGAATTCCTGTTACAAAACTGATGGTAGCGAATTATTGCTTTGAAGTTCAATATGAATTTTTGAGCATTGTATAATAATATAGTCTCCCTAATTTTCGCTAGCTAATCATAATAACAGAACTGCTTTTAAAATGGCTTGTTCAAACTTTTAGATCACCAAAACCGAAAGAAACGTGTCAAGTTTTATTAGCATTAGTGTGTTCTACAGTTGTGATAAGAATCATTGGCTAGTCCAGTGTTCTGTGTACAGTCAGTAGGTTAAAACCCAGCCATGTCTTTGAACCATCTTTGCTTCGTTTTTTTTGTGATCACATCCAAACGTTAACACATAATGTTCTCGTCTCTAATCTAATGAGAATATTCTGTATTGATCTTGAAAGAAATTTAATGAAATAGATATTCAAGATGTTTAAGCTATATCTTTTTCATTGTTCAAACATTACTTGGACTTAATATGTTTTTTGTATTTTCTAACCTTTTGCAGATTCTGACAACAAAGGTGTGAATTCTGGTCGCTTGGTTGCTTGCATAACCACTTTGTTCTTATTCAGCAAAATCAGGCCCCAGCTAATGGTCAAACATGCCATGACCATGCAGCCATACCTGACCACTAAATGTAGTGTAAGTAGAGAAAATCAGTCTTTATTTTCCCCAGATAATTAAGCATTGAAATGAATGAGTGTCTTATATACTTGATAAAATTTAAGATAGGAAAAGAAAAATTGAAATTGCGGTTTTATTTCATGAGCATCATAGCTTCTGAACAGACTAGATCCTTTTGGTGATCTGGGTAGCTTCTAAGATGCTGTTCTTCACCCTCCACCACCATGTTTTACAGTCAAATGAAACTGAAACCTGTGCTGCCTCTTTCCTTTGAAATCTAAGTCCTAGTTTTTCACATGCTATGAAATAATTTCTTGAAATTGTTTTGGTTTATAGTCACAGTCTTAAAAGTAGTTACTATTTAAATTGAGAATCTTAAGGCTAAAGATATATTTCTTTAAGATAGAGTGATCTAATGAATAGCAGATGTATCAGAAGGAAAATCATAGAATCATTTAGGTTGGAAAAAGACCTTTAAGATCGTCAAGTCCAACCCTTAACCTAGCACTGCCATGTCCACCACTAAATCATGTCCCAAAGTGCCACATCTACATGTCTTTTAAATACCTCCAGTCTTTGTGACTCAATCTCCTGCACAGCCTGTTCCAATGCTTGGTCAACCCTTTTGGTGAAGAAGTTTTTGCAATATCCGATCTAAAACTCCCCTGGCGCAATTTAAGGCCATTTCCTCTTGTGCTGTCACTTGTTACGTGGGAGAAGAGACCTACCCCCACCTCGCTACAGCCTCCTTTCAGGCAGTTGTAGTGAGCAATAAGGTCTCCCCTCAGCCTCTTTTTCTCCAGGCTAAACAATCCCAGTTCCCTCAGCCATTCCTCAGAAGACTTGTGCTGTAGACCCTTCACCAGCTTTATTGCGCTTCTTTGGACACGCTCCAGCACCCCAATGTCTTTCTTATTGTGAGGGGCCCAAAACTGAACACAGTATTTGAGGTGCAGCCTCACCATTGCTAAGTACAGGGAGACAATCACTTCCCTAATCCTGCTGGCCACACTAATTCTGATACAAGCCAGGATGCTCTTGGCTTTCTTGGCCACCTGGGCACACTGCTGCCTCATATTCAACTGGCTATCAGCCAACACCTCCAGGTCATTTTCTGCTGGGCAGCTTTCCAGCCACATCTCCCCATGCCGGTAGTATTGCCTGGGCTTGTGGTGACCCAAGTGCAGGACTTGACACTTGGACTTGTTGAACCTCATACAATTGTCCTCAGCCCATCAATGCAGCCTGTCCAGATCCCTCTGTAGGGCCTTTCTACCCTCAAGCAGATCAACACTCCCACCCAGCTTGGAGTTGTCTGCAAACTTACTGAGGGTGCACTTGATACCCTCATCTAGATCATTGGGAAAGGTATTAAACAGAACTGGCCCCAGTGCTGAGCCCTACCGAGCATCATGTGTGACCAGCCGCCAACTGGATTGAACTCCATTCACCACCACTCTTGGGGCCCGGCCATCCAGCCAGCAGTTTTTTACCCAGCAAAGTGTACGCCCGTCCAAGCTGTGAGCTGCCAGTTTCTCCAGGAGAAATCTGTGGGAAACAGTGTTAAAGGCTTTACTAGAATCCAGGTAGACAACACCCACAGCCTTTCCCTCATCCACTAAGTGGATCATCTTGTCATAGAAAGAGATTGGGTTAGTCAGGCAGGACCTGCCTTTCATAAACCCATGCTACTGGGCCTGATCACCTGGTTATCCTGTACATACCGCGTGACGACACTCAAGATGATCTGCTCCATAATTTTCCCAAGCACCAAGGTCAGACTGACAGGCCTATAGTTCCCCAGATCCTCCTTCCAGCTGTTCTTGTAGATGGGCATCACATTTTCTAAGTTCCCCTCAACCGAGACCACCCGCGTTAGCCAGGACTGCTGATAAATGCTGGAAAGTGGATTGATGAGCACTTCCACCAGCTCCCTCAGTACCCTCAGGTGGATCCCATCCAGCCCCATAGACCTGTGTGTGTCTAAGTGGTGTAGCAGGTTGCTAACCATTTCCCCTTGGATTAAGGGGGCAATGTCCCGCTCCTCTTCCATACATCGCCTCTCACTTCCATAGCTCTACTGTTTTTGTATTCCCCTGGAAGACAATTTAGTTCACAATAGTGGTAGAGCGCTATAATGGTGAAATCCCCCAATCTGGTAAAATGACCCCCCGGTCTGAAACATTATGGCACATTCCTGCCGTTTTGATTAGCACAGTTGCCTCAGGGCATGTTGTGATGAACCCTTGATCTGGCAGAAGCAGGGCTGCATCATGCAGCCATTGCTCAAGGAGGAGCATGGGTGGGTGGCAGCAATCCATTGCATTAGGTCAGCTGCCCAGGGCAGTCTTGAGAATAATTGTTGTCAGCTTAGATTGTAGGTATAACATAGCATTTTCCAGGTTCAGCCCTGGAGCATTCTCTAGGCACATGTACAACAGACTTTTAGAGCTGCTCCTGATGAAACAGTATAGGAAGGGGTTGTCTGATGATTCAGTTGCTGCAACCCATTCAGTGGGTTACATTGGGTTTGTACTTAGGTAGGTTGAGATTAATTGTATAATCACTGCTGTCAGCTTGAGTATGTTAAATAGCTTGATAATAGCATTCGGGAATTATCCTATCCTGGTTAGTGAGCTTGACTTGTCAAAAAAAGTCAGTTCCTAGAAAGAATGTATCTTTAATAGATAAATGTTTTCTATGGATTCCTCACAATACATATACAGTCATGATAATGCAAACCAGTAATAATTTGAATTGTAATTTCTACATTTGTACACGTATTACCCATTTTGTTTAAGGCACATTGAGTTACAGCACAACTTAGCAGATGTGAACTATATAAATATTGTTTTAGATCTGTACCAAATACCTTGCTTGAGCTGGGATTTTTGACTATCAGTGCATCCTAATAATACTTAGCTTATAGGTAACATGGCCAGAACTGTTAAACGTTATAAATACTGTTGTTTCAGACCCAGAATGATTTCATGGTGATCTGTAATGTCGCGAAAATCTTAGAGCTTGTAGTGCCTCTCATGGAGCACCCAAGTGAGACCTTTCTTGCCACTATTGAGGAAGACCTCATGAAACTCATCATCAAATATGGCATGACGGTAAGCTTTTAATTGCTTATCAAAATTAGATAATTATAATTGCTTATTGAAATTTTAATTTTCAATAGCAGTTGATTCCATTGAAGTACATGGTTTTGATTTAAAGAAAGTCTGTTTTCATTATAAAGATAACTTTTGAGCTGTGAAAAATCAGTGTGCTTGGTTTACTAGAGTTTGTATGTGGTGTTGCTTTATTTAGCAAGTTAGAGCAGGTTTTCAGAGCGGTCTAGGAGATGGACATTACGTCCATTAGATTGTTAGTTTTAGTTCCTCATGGTTTTTTCCTACATAAGTTCACAAAAACCTCAATTTTAACTTCTAAACGTGTAATTTATTTGTTCTTCCTTGCTCTTAGGTTGTTCAGCATTGTGTGAGCTGTCTCGGGGCTGTTGTGAACAAGGTCACCCAGAATTATAAATTTGTGTGGGCCTGTTTTAATAGATACTATGGTAAGTAAAACCACAACATGCAATTGTCACTTTTCAGTTTTGGTTACGAGTCTTATCTTTGGGATACATCATGATTCGATGTATCAAACACTTTGATCAAAACTTTTATCTTACTGTAGGTGCACTTTCAAAATTAAAAAGTCAACACCAAGAAGACCCCAACAGTACAATACTTACTGCCAATAAACCAGCACTCCTTAGATCGCTTTTCACTGTTGGAGCACTGTGTCGGCATTTTGATTTTGATCAGGAAGATTTTAAGGGCAACAGTAAGGTAAAATAACTTGTATTTACTCTCCATGTCTGACATACATTGAATGCTCCACTTTTAATTTGAAAGCACATTATTCCTAGTCCCTCAAAGCTATGTATTTTTTCATAATGCATATGGTATAGCTTTTTGGTTTTTAAATGCGTGGTTTTGCAAAGGCCATGCAATAAGGTTGTGTTTTTCGTTTTCTTTTTTATATTTATGGTTTCTATAAGAGATTAAAAACATCTGTTTCATCTTCAAATAGCTATTATTTTTGTTTCAATTTGCTCAGGTTAACATTAAGGATAAAGTACTTGAACTGCTGATGTATTTTACAAAGCATTCAGATGAAGAAGTACAGACAAAAGCCATTATTGGCCTTGGTAAGAAATACTAATAGTTTTTATTGTTCTGCTATAGTAAAAATCCAAGTGTATCAGTAGGAATTAATGTATTTGTGTAGTGGCAAGGGAGTTTGTTTAGAATAAAAAGTTACTGCTTGTTTTATTTGAGAACTGGCAATAGAAAAGTTGTCAAAGGGTTGCTAGTTGCATACTTCTGCAGCAGAGTGGATGCATTTGACAGTGAATACCTTTTGATGTGTGACCAAGTCTTAAAATACAGCAGATTTCCAAAGTAATGGAGATGTTATTTTTTTCTCCACATGCAAGTATGTTGTAACTCCAAATCTTGTTTTTCAGTCCACAAAGTATGGTTGAAAAACAAATAGGAAAAGCGCTGGAAAAACTTCTAACATTTCAAGTGTATAGGGTCAGATATTCTGCAGGATTCAAGGGAACTCTGGCAGTTTATATGAACTGGATGGTGCTCTGTGAGATTTTGCAAGGCAATGAGATGATCTCATAGTCTGCATATTTCAGTGACTTGCAGTAGTACATGAGCTGCCATTGAGTGGTTTGTGTCATGTTCATCCTCTGCTTAAGGACAAAAACTGTACATGTGAGAGAATCGAGTTTGGGCAGAGAGGCCTTGGTTTTTGGAAGAGTTCACTTCATGGTTGTGGCTTAGTCTAAAGAAAGCTGTCCCCCAGGCATATAAGCTCGCATTGTATAGTTTCATCATGGACAAGAATTTGCATCTTCATGTTGCTGTTTAGGGGACTTTTCAGCTATCCTGCTTCAGTTCAGGATAGGGAGGGCTCCAAGGATAAAGACCTGACTGAATCTTGATTTCATATTATAGGAGAAACCATTTCAGACATCTGAGCAGGATTAATGGCTGGCTTTACTGTTGCCTCTGTTGCAGGAGCAATGTTTTGGTTTTCTGGACTTCTTGAGAGTTTTTCTAGGCATTACATCAAGGTGCACAACACTTACTGTAGTCCAGTCTAATTTAATTTTTTCTACACAATGCTGCATGTGAGATATGAACTGCGGTCTAAACCATAGACATAATTAATTGCTTTGTTCGTGGATGTAGAGAATGTTGCATTAGCCAAAAATATTTCTAAAATATAGACTGAATTGTGATCAGTTTGAGGGAAGAGGGTGAAGTGGGGGTGGCTGTCTGCAGGCGTTCTTCAGGTTTGTTTTTTTTTCTCTGACTGTAAGCATATCAGTCTTTATTTTACCTAAACCCCAGGCAACTGTTTTTCAGTGATTTATTGATCTCATTTAAGTATAGTTTGTTTTGAGGGTAGCTGTTGGATGTATGGAGATGTGGTAGATGGAAAAAAAGTTCCACCTTACAGGCCGGTAATTGAGCAAAGTTGTCAAAGCCATTCAATCTTTGTGTGCAGCAATAAGGTGGAAAAGGACCAGCAAGTTAATTCAACATTTATACACAGTGAAAGCATCGTGTGAAGCATGTGTACTTTCTTATGGACAATTGTTAGTTTGTTACTTCAGTAAGGACACCAAATGGTTGTAGCCTTTGCTTTGGGATCTGTCACTGCTGTTGAGGAATTAAGCTTAACCATAAGCTTAATGATTATGGTGATGATTCTCTTCCAGATGTGTACTTGCAAGCAGGTTGAAGATATAAAATTTTGTTAGTAAATTTAGCTAAACCTATAAGTATCTAACAGGTAGTGTCTTACTCAGCCAAGTTCAGTGCTGACTCTTATAGTGAAAACAAGGGTATAAAGAGAAGTAGTGTGAGGGCAGCCCTGAGATGTGAAGTCAGTCTTAAAAGAACACAGCAGGTGCCCTTTTTCATCTCCTATGACAAATTCTTAAGGCAAGTAAGATTTCTTCCCGGCTTACAGGGTATGGAAACATAAGAATTTCCTTAAGAATACTGATGGTTTAGACTCCTTCAAGTGAATGAAAGAAAAAAAAAAAAGTGTTATGGGTTGTTACACATACATGGATGTGCTTTTCATTTTTAATATTAAGAAATGGGTTGGACTTGCTCAAAAGTGATCCAAGTTAAAACATCGGTCTACACCTGTAGAGAGTGCACAATACTACCACATGCTCCAAAGACCATTGTCATTTCTTTTTCTCCTCTTTCCCCTCCACCTCACCTGCTTCTCTCTGCTTCTTGTTTTGAGACCGAAACGAGATCTCAAACACACTGAGGTCTTGCCCTGGCCATAGCCTTTACCTACACTGTCTTCTCTGTGTGTTTGGAGCCAGTTTTAAAAACGTGACTCTGCCTTCCCCTTGTTACAGCTATTTTTATACATTATTTTTCCATAATTTTATTTGCTTTCATTTTTTTTCTCCCCATTCTTCTTTTATATTCATGTGTTTTCTGTGTATTCATTCAGAATCTTAGTTTCCTGTGGTCATTAAAAATACATTTAATGTCTGCTTTTCTTGAACAGTCTTATAAATAAATAAATAAAGTAGTTAACAGTAATATAAATTGGGATGTTATTTTCCTATTACTGTTTTTTTATGAGAGCTGTAAGAGTTGGTCAGCAGCACTTCTAAATATACATATGTGATCTAAAATATTATATAGTGTCACTAATTTAGAAAAGTTTTTATGAAATGTAGACTAAGAATAATCAGTTCCTTGATAAGAGTAAGGCTGCAGCTAAAAGCAATTGTATAGTTTGTATCTTCCAACATATGTAGTCTTGGGAACGCCTCAAATAGTTTTCAAGAGAAGACTTAATAGGTACATGATTAATGACAATGAAAGGTATAAATTTTACTAGGTTCACTGTTCTTTTTCTTTTAAGATTATATTTTTAAATACTTGAGATAATTATGATTTTTTCCACATTTACTCTGCCTCCATATGAATAACTCTTCACAGTTTCAACAGAATGTTTTTCTCCAAATGTGTTAGAAAAACAATGAGTAATTTTTGGTAATGTTCCTCCCTTGTTCTTTTAAGAGCTCCTAATCATTCAGATGCAGGCTGCTACACTGCACATGCTTCCAGACCTGTGTAACTCTTCTTAATACAGCTGCCTGGGGTCAACACCTCATCTTTATCCATCAAACAGAGTCATGGCTAATAGAACTGTCATGGCTAACAGAACTCCTTGTAAGCTATGGATGGTGTCCATGTGGAAAAGCAATACTGTTTGGACTAGAAAACGCTATGCTGTTGGAAGGAGATAAATTTCATACCTCTATTTTGAAGAAAGACTTAGATGATAATAATGTGGAATATTTCCTTTTTTTTCCACCCTTAGGATTTGCATTTATACAACACCCAAGTTTAATGTTCGAACAGGAGGTAAAGACTCTGTACAACAGCATTCTTTCAGATAAGAACTGTTCAGTAAACTTAAAAATCCAGGTGTTAAAAAACCTCCAGACCTACTTGCAGGAGGAGGATACACGGATGCAGCAGGCAGACAGAGACTGTAAGTGCTGAGTTCTTCTGTGCTAATGAGGCATGCAAAACCCAGCTTTCTTGCATACAGTTACTATATGTGTGAACTGAGTCACTTAAGATTGTTATCAGATAAGTGATATTGTACCCAAAGTATTGTAGAATACTTTTCAAAAATTCATTATGTGTATAGGTGTATACACATAATAGCTACATTATTTACTTTCAAGATGCGTAAATCCTGGAAACAATCCAAAATGCATAATTGCTGTAATGATATTACTTGCTGTAATGATATTACTACTTTCTTTTGATAAAAAGTAGTAATACTTTTTATCAAAATCTCCTATAAGGTTAATTTGCAGATAAGAAATAATAAATACAAGGTAAGAAATGTTTTAGATGAAGAACTTTTGTTAAGGAACAAGGCTTTAATTAAAGTCACATCTCTCTAGTTTTTTGGTGTATATTTACCACCAGACTGTTCTATGTTTCATGAGATCATAAACACATTTTAAGACAGCTGAAATGTGTATGTATTGTAAAGCTTAAAGATCAGCAAGCCTGAAGTGTTGGCGAACTAAATTATTATACTGTGGTGAGTGTGCTATTGCTTTTGTCCTTTTCACAGGGAAAAAAGTAGCAAAACAGGAAGACCTGAAAGAAATGGGTGATATTTCCTCAGGGATGAGTAGTTCCATCATGCAGCTGTATCTCAAACAGGTCCTTGAGGCTTTCTTTCATACCCAGTCCAGTGTACGCCACTTTGCTCTAAATGTCATTGCACTGACGTTAAACCAGGGTCTCATCCATCCTGTTCAGGTATGGTAGGCTTTTATGATGGGAGACATTGTTATTCAGGTTTTCAGAGGTTTTCACTCTTGCTACTTGAGTTTCCAGTTTTTCTTTTCCAAATATCTCACAGTAATTTCTTATTGTAGCAAGGGGCCTTTACAGAAAGCGTATTTTGAAATCTGTTTTATGTTGTTTAGCCAGCGAGATTCCAAATGCTCTATTTTCCTCTTTTGGATCAAGGTGTAAAAGCCCAGCCAGTGCCTAAAAAACACGTACAAACATACATTGGAGCATATTTCTGTTATAAATTTCAGGTCTATGCCAAGTTATTTTCTTTATTTGATTCTTTATCCTGGCAAACGTGTCAGCTTGGCTCCACCTGAATCCCGATGTCCTCCAAACACTATGGAATTTCACAGACAATGTCAGAACTTCAGTCATCATCTCCATTATTCTTTGCTTACATAATGTTTTTGTAATGATTTTTTTTTTTTATACTGCAGCCATTGTGCATGTTCAGTCGTGGTGGTTTGGTTTTTTAAATGGCATTTTTTGTAGTATAAATTGGCTTTAGAGTTTGAGAGAAAGGGAGGTGCTACCTGAAAGCTCACACAACTTCTATAATTTATAATGCTGGTCTCTCATGTATTTTGTACTATTTGCTTGCAAAAAGTAGGCAGGTAGTATGTTGCACAGAGCATTGTATTCTAGTTTCTGCCATAGAGTATAAGAAGAACAATAGTGTAATAGAAGAACAAAGACTGAGAAAGAGGAGGTACAATGACTTTGAATAATTGTTTTGTTTGTTTTTCAAGTGTGTGCCGTACTTAATTGCTATGGGCACAGATCCAGAGCCCTCTATGCGAAATAAAGCTGACCAGCAGTTGGTGGAAATAGACAAAAAATATGCTGGGTTCATTCATGTAAGTAATTCTCATTTAACATTTTACGAAATACTGTTATGTTCTCTAGTGGTTTAACACCTGAATATGTCTCAGCTGCAGAAAAAGAATGTAAAGTAACAAATAAACAGTAACTATTAGCAGTTGTAAAGCTGATCTCAACTCTTCTTCCTGTTTGGAGATTCCTTATTCTTAGAAAGAGAGGGTATAAGAACTTGAAGTGTCTCTTCCAGTCCAAAATTTCCTTTAATTTATAATTCACAGTTCTGTTTTCCTCACTGAGTAGTTCTTAAGAGCATTTATTGGATAAGAGTTAAGGACAGCTTTTTCATCATGTTTAGCAATGATTTTCTTGTATCAGTGGACTAGGGAAGAGAACACCTTGTAAAAGTAGAAGTCCTTAGTGTATGTGTGTTAGAACATTAAGGCATCAAGGCTTCATAAGTTGTAATCTAAGCATGAAGGAGCATAGGAAGCTGTCTAGATATGAGGGATCGTGCTGAAAGGAGAATCTGAGGGCTAAGTGAGGACTTTGGGAGTTGTGGCATAATGCCAACAATTCTGCTTAAGATCTGAAACTGAGCTGCAGCACCCTCTCCTTAATTCAGAAGGCCCCAGTCTAGGATCAGTGTGTGTACTTCAGTGTGGGACTTCTCCTGTCTGCTGTCTGTATTCTACTGTGACTGGGGCATTGCACCATTGGCAGCATCCAAACAGATATCTGAGTAGGTGACGGCGAGCAGATGAAATTTGCTGTGTAGGCAGCTGGGATCTAAGGCAATGTATGGATGAAGAGACAATTTCGCTAAACAGCAGCAGAGGTGGTATGAGGAGAGTTGGATATGCAGCCTTACCAGGGATTCAGTTTGTTCTGAAACTAGAGGAGGAGCTTTGAAGTAAGTAAAATCATCTGGAAATTACAGGATATATGCAAAAAACCCTTCATTTTCTGTTTGTTAGTCCTGTTCTGCTAAGACGGACTCAGTTGTTGGTTTCACTACAAGTGACATCAAGCATACGCATTTGGTAAAATACTCTGTTCATGTATGAAAACGTGTCGGTGTTCTTAAAAACTTCAAATTGGAATACCTGGCTGTAGTAGGTAAACAGATTAGCTGTATGTTTCTAACAGGATTTACATTGAAAGCAGTTCACAAGGCATTCTGACCTTTGCCACAAGTTTTGTTTTAATCTGTTTGCCAATGCAAAAGGTAGTATCATCTCAGTGCGTGTTTGGAAGTTAAACTTCAGATAAGCATCCACTTAAAAGGAGTAAGATTTACTGCTTTGAAGGCAATGGTTTAAATAAATACGTTTCCGTTTCAGATGAAAGCAGTGGCTGGTATGAAGATGTCCTACCAGGTACAACAGGCGATTAATACCTGCCCAAAAGATCCTGTAAGAGGTTTTAGACATGATGAATCATCCAGTGCATTGTGTTCACACCTATACTCCATGATCCGAGGGAACCGTCAACACAGACGAGCGTTTCTAATTTCTTTACTCAACCTCTTTGACGATACTGCAGTAAGCATCACATCTTCTTTACTTAAAAAGAAATTAAAATGCAGCATTACAACCTTAAATTCTCCTTTTATGGTGTGTTTTTATGACATAATGATTGACATATTTGTTCTCCTTTGTAATATAAGGTATTTAGCTATGTAATATTACCTATATAATAGAATGCATTTATTACTTCTGCAACATTCTGTACCGTTTTATACCTAGTTTGGACTAATCAGAAATAGTGTATCTTCAGGTATGACTAAATTTTGCATATATATATGTTGTTTAAAGTGGGTTTGGGGGAGTATGTAAAATAAAATTTGTGATACGTTTTTGCTCTGGACTGTTAGGAACACAGAATAAGTGTATAAATCTAAGATATCTGTATGTGTATTCATATGTACTTTTTTTTTAACTTCCAGAAAACAGAGGTGAATATGCTCTTGTACATAGCAGACAATCTAGCCTGTTTTCCTTATCAAACACAGGAAGAGCCACTGTTTATAATGCATCATATAGACATTACACTATCAGTTTCTGGTAGCAACTTACTACAGTCATTTAAAGAGGTATGTACATTTACATTTTAGTGTATTTGTTATGGTGGCAACATAAGCTTCCCTATAATTGTTCGATTTTTCAGTGAATACAGTACCATTACTATGATATGGACCAGTAGCTTTGCTTCGTAACCAGTAGTTAAAAACAAGCAACTCTCTCTGTTCTGGCCTGCATCCGGTAAACACCAGTTAAAATCTTTCCTTACATTGCTGCTTACATTATTAAAAAAGAATGATGAATGTTGAGATCTTAATATCAAATCTATATCGTTCCCTGATATTGCTGAATAATAATTAATTGCATGTATCTGGAAGCACATGAACCCAGAATCATCGTGAAATACAGGTTTATTGTGGTTTCTATGATTTTAATAATAAAATCCAGTTGCTGGCTCGTGTTGAGCTTCTCATCCACCAGCACTCCCAAGTCCTTTTCCTCAGGGCTCCTCTCAATCCATTCTCCGCCCAGCCTGTACTTGTGCTTGGGATTGCCCCGACCCATGTGCAGCACCTTGCACTTGGCCTTGTTGAACTTCATGAGGTTCTCACAGGCCCATCTCTCCAGCCTGTCAAGGTCCCTCTGGATGGCATCCCTTCCCTTCAGCCTGTCCACAACGCCACACATCTTGGTGTCATCTGCAAACTTGCTGAGGGTGCACTCGATCCCACTGTCCATGTCACCAACAAAGATTTTAAACAGCATCAGTCACAATACTGACCCCTGAGGAACACCACTCGTCACTGGCTTCCACTTGGACATTGAACCGTTGACCGCAACTCTGACTACAACCACCCAGCCAATTCCTTATCCATCGAATGGTCCATCGTCAAATCCATGTCTCTCCAATTTAGAGACAAGGATGTCATGTGGGACAGTATCAAATGCTTTGGGCAAGTCCAGGTAGACGATGTCAGTTGCTCTTCCCTTATCCACCAATGCTGTAACCCCATCATAGAAGGCCACCAAATTAGTCAGGCAGGATTTTCTCTTAGTGAAGCCACGTTGGCTGTCACCAGTCACCTTGTTTTCAGAAGGTGCAATCTTTCAGGAAGCACACCTGTTTCTAGAATATCCAATCCAACTAGTAAGTACAAGTCAGTGTTGATGCCTGGGAAGTACACTGCTTTCAATTCTCACCCGATCAAAGCCGATTTTTAATCTGCTAAAAAGAGACAGTGCCTTCTTCAGACTGGGGACCAAGGTGTAGCGCCCAGCACAGAAAGGATGAGATCCTTCTTAGGACATCTTAGGTTCTGTGTTATCAAAAATCACACTATGTGCAGCCGTAGTGCATGTGTGAAATTCTGTAGCTCTACAAGTAGTGGAACTGATTATTATTAATACTGTGTATGATCACTTGAGGGTTTCTCTGGTCAGCAGTGTAATTAGTATCATAGAATTTTAAGAGAGAAGGATTGAAACCAGCTTGGACTAGTCTCTACCAAAATACGTATAGAAATCCACATGACACACAGAAATGTTATCCAGGTGAAAGAAAAAGAGTTTTCTTCCTAATTTAGAGTATTTGGCCTTCTACTGCATACTACTGTCCCTGCTAACAAGCTTGAGCAGTCTGTTAAGAATAATATGCCAGTGCAGTACTTGTTGCTTCAGTTCTGTACCCATTTTGCAAAAAATGTGAGCTTTAAATAAATTTTTCAGCATCTTTTTGCCATAAGTAATTTTTATTTTGAATACTGAGTTGTAAGTTATAGAATCATATAATGGTTTGGGTTGGAAGCCCCATCCAATCTGGTCTTGAACACTTCCAGGGATGGGGCATTCACAGCTTCTCTGGGCAGCCTGTTCCGGGGTCTCTCCACCCTCAGAGTGAAGAGTTTCTTCCTTGTATTTAATTGAAATCTACCCTCTTTCAGTTTAAAGCCATTAGTAAAAATTATTAATATTGTTCAGGAAATTCTTGCTAATTTAAGCCAGTAATGATTTTGGAAAGCATTTTAGAAATGTACATTATGCTACTTACTCTAATTCTGAATGTGTCTTCACTTCTCTGTCTTCCAGTCTATGGTGAAAGACAAAAAAAAGGAAAGAAAACCTTCATCAGATGAGGAGACTGAAAGTGACAGTAACAGTGGTAGTGGGAGCGAAAGTGAGGAGGAAGCTTCTAAGCCTCGGAGGTTACGGAAACGAGTAGACTCTGATTCAGATTCTGATGAAGAAAATGATATAAATGCTGTGATGAAATGTTTACCAGAAAATTCAGCTCCTTTAATTGAATTTGCAAATGTCTCCCAAGGCATATTATTACTTTTGATGCTGAAACAGCATTTAAAGAACCTCTGTGGATTCTCAGATAGGTAAGGATATTTAGATAATAGGCCATCTTGTCATCTAGTGAATTCTTTGTAAGGATTAAGTTTGGAAGTTTTTTAAAAAAGTTGATTGAAACTAATTGTTTAAGCGTTAGATTTGTGTTAAGAGAAAAAACATAAACATGATAAATTGAATGTGATGAAACTTTGGCTTAGGAAAAGCAATGATTTCATTTCTTACCAGAATGTCTATAGTATATGGAATCATTAAAATATAACAACTTATACTGAAGATTTTAATGACTTTTCCTCAAAATTACTTTGGACTTTCCTTAAAAGCTCTTCCCTTTTGTTTTCTTTAAACAGTAAAATTCAGAAATATTCTCCATCTGAATCTGCAAAAGTTTATGACAAAGCGATAAATAGGAAAACAGGAGTGCATTTCCATCCAAAACAAACTCTGGATTTTCTGCGGAGTGATATGGCTAATTCCAAGATCACTGAAGAAGTGAAGAGGAGTATAGTAAAACAGTACTTAGATGTAAGTAAAGTTGCTTTGCAGAAAACCTAAAGTTCTTTCAAACTAGGTAACTCAGTATAAACTTAAAGTAGATGCTGATGTACTGGATGAACGTTTCAAAATGTTGATTTCCTGATAATCTTATGCCATATACTGATAACTCACCACTTCCTTTCAGGATGTTTAGCAGGACTGTCTTTCAAAGACTTCTAATAAGTTTAAAAACAATGAAAATTAATTTCATCTAAAGGATGTTAATCTTTATGGAGTATTTTTCTTATTTCTTGTATACATCCCCCATATAACTTGTTCACTTTATCCCTGACTGTTTCCATCATAGGAACAGAGACTAGATCTAGTAATTACTTCCCCCCTGCAATCTTTAAATACCAATTAGAGAAGAATTGGAAACTTAGAATTTTGGAAACATAGGAAGAAAGCTTTTTCATATCTACTAAAAAAAAAGAGGACAGTAAAAAGTTTGTAGAACAAAGCATAAGCTGTTCAAGTTTGAAGTTGCCTGCCGTTTGTTTTACCTTGCTGTTTGTTTTTTTTTATTTAATGTAGTATGATATAAACGTCTATTTTTAAAGTTACAATGTGGACTAATCTTTTTTTTTTAATAGTTCAAGCTCCTTATGGAACATTTGGATCCTGATGAAGAGGAAGAAGATGGAGAGGTGTCAGCTAGCACAAATGCTCGGAACAAAGCAATTACCTCGCTGCTTGGAGGAGGCAGCCCTAAAAACAATGCAGCTGAGACAGAGGACGATGAAAGTGATGGGGAGGATAGAGGAGGAGGCACTTCAGGGGTGAGGCGGAGGAGGAGTCAACGTATTTCGCAGCGTATTACGTAAAATGATTTTTATGTGCTTATAAATGTCAGTCTATTATATTAAATGTACACCAAGTAATGTAATCCACATGAAAGAAAGCATTTTGTAGATAGAGATTCTCTACTTAACCGTTTATACAACTTTTGTAGAAAGTTTAACAGAAAAGACAATAAAAAAAAAAAAAAACCAACGAAAAAAAACCAACAACCTAGAAAATGAGATTTATCCCGTATAAAAAGTTATTAATTTTCCTTTGGAATGTACTGTGTGTTATCCTTTTTATTGTTGCCAAGTTTTTATGTAGCTTTATGATTCATGTGTATATATAATTTTATATATCAATAAGAGATAAAGACACGGGTACAAATTAAGAGTATGTGGTTTTACAAGGATATGTTAACCCCTTGGCGCTGGCGGTCGCGGTGCGTCTCATTGCCGGCAATGGAATGTGTGCCGGGAAATCCCAACTCCCGGCGTCAAGGGATTAAAAGCAATAAAAGCAATAATTTCACTAAAGTTCTTTTGTGTAACACTTGGTCTTTTTTCCCCCCAATGTTTTAGTCATTGAGAAGGTCAAAACGAAATTCAGACTCTACGGAGTTGGCAGCACAGATGAATGAAAGTGTTGATGTCATGGATGTCATCGCTATTTGCTGTCCAAAGTACAAAGACCGACCACAAATTGCAAGAGTAGTACAGAAAACCAGCAATGGCTTCAGTGTTCAGTGGATGGCAGGCTCCTACAGTGGCTCCTGGACTGAGGCTAAGCGCCGTGATGGCCGCAAACTGGTGCCTTGGGTAGACACTATTAAAGAGTCAGACATTATTTACAAAAAAATTGCTCTAACGAGTGCTAATAAGCTGACTAATAAAGTTGTGCAGACTTTACGATCGCTGTATGCCGCCAAGGATGGAACTTCCAGCTAATGAATTTGTACATGCAGCCAAATTTACAGGAATTGAAATGACAGAAAAACTTGAAGTATCAACTTTCTGGCAAAAAAAAAAAAAAAAAAAATCAGTTAAATGAAGAGTAAGAATGGAACCTGGGACGCGGGAAAAAAGGAGATGTTTGGTAAACATTTTTGTGGGAGCTTCCTTCGCTGTTGTGCAGCAGAAACTTCTCAGTTCATTTTTACTCCCACTGTATTATAGTTTAACAAAAAAATTGTTTATATCTTGGAAAAAAAACCTTTCTGTTTAAAAAAAATAAACAAGTGAATGTTGGAAATTAGTCTGTTAATGTTCTTAATAAAGTGTTCTTGGAGTTTAACCTAGCAGCGGATGGCTTTCTTTAGCTTAGCCCAGTTTCCAGGGAAGCATTGTTTTTCCAGGCTGTAAAATGGCAGAATCTCCTGGATATATAATTTATTCTGTTGAAGAAAAAAAAAAAAAGGAAAGAAAAAAAAAAAAAGCATGCAGTATCTATGACCTATCTGCAGGAGGAGTTTTTGTAAATGTAGATTTTGATGTATTAGGTCACCCTGAAATAATACAAGAAAAGGGATCCCCAGCAAATCTGGTGGAACGAATACTGCAATAAATTTTTTTACTTCTCTTTGGTACTTGTCTGTTTCCATTTGAATTTCTTATTGTAAAGATCTGTTTAAATCCATTTATATTATTTTGCAGTCTTTTATGTAAAATTTACTATACCAGTGGTTTTCAAAACAAGACATAAAATATTGTTTATACAGTTTGTATAGGCTGACTTCTGAATAATTGGTATCTTTTTATTTTTATCCCTTAAAGGGTGTAAACACAAGTTAACTCCAGGGTTTTATTGTATCCTGCAATATTTAGTATTAACTATATGATTTAGCACTGTGCCAAACACATTTTCAAGAGTACATTTTGATATAAAAAGAAACTATAGTTTATTCCTTGTATGCTTCGGTTTCTTTCTAATGCTGTCCAAATGGTAATTTATGGTAGTTTAAATTTGGGGAAAGCTGAATGACTATTCTGCTTGGGCTAACGGGCCATGTGTGCATTTCTCTGGGTTCATATAAGGAAGCTTGTGTCAAGAGGAGGTGGCTACCAGTATCTGAGGAGTGAATGGGTATGAGTCTGGGTAATGACGCTACATTCCTTCACAAATGAATTTTTAAAAAAATGTTTGTATATTAGAATTATTTTTTTTTACCAATTGAAAGACGTTTTCACGTTTTGTAAATTGAAAAAAATGCTATTGAAAGCTTGCAGAAACATTTGCTTCAACTGCGTTGCCTCAGCCTTTCATGAGCAGTTCGCCTTCCTAGAGAGTCAGAAAAGCAGCACATCTGCAAACAGAAAAAAATCTTAAATGGCTGAACTTTTTAGGGAACTATTAAACCCTACTGTGTTTTCAGTTGTGTTTGTCTAAATCAAGTGTTCCTCAATACGTAAGTCTTTCTTTCAATTACATTTCTTTTCTCTTACGAATCTAATTTATGAAATTAGCTCGCAGAGTTCTAATACGTTATTCGATTTGTGAGGAATAGTAACAGTGTTCCAAAATATTCTTGTGTACAAAAAAACCCCAACATTAAACTGAAATGGTTAATAACTCCTCAGAATGTAGTTGGTAGTTGTTCCTATGGGAAAAGCCTTTTTGCTGTTTCGCCACTGGAATTTTGCTGAACAGAAATATGTTAGCACCTTTTCGTTGTCACTGTTGGCGGTGTTTCCTTCACTGTACAAAAAGCCACCTCTCAGGCTAAGGTCGGTGGTGTTGCAGTAGTGAGAAGTAGAAAAAGCAGAAGTCACTCCTTTGCAGCTCTGGATGCGGGACGTTTCTGTAACAAACAATGGAAGAGTGCGTTTCTCAGGGCCATAAGCAACTGTTACAGTGGGAGATTCATAACTTTAGGAATAGCAGGGTTGTATGGCATGTCACGTGTTGCTACTAGAAAGAGCTGAAAATGCTTCACAAGGAAACTCCCAAATGATGAAAACAAGAATTTCATACAGATACAGTCTAAAATCAAGTTGTCTGTTAGCCATTTCTGATGCTATTTATATTAAAGTTTCTTATTTTTAATAGGTAATACAAATACTTCCTTGTTCATAAACAAATTGTTTACTGGTCGTGTGGCTTTCCCGATAGCAAAGATGGTTTTTTATTTCAATTTGCTTGGTATTTATTGGAATGAAATTATCAGAAAGAACTTATAATTAAACAATAGAAACCTGAAGTCTACAGTTGTCTTAGTTGAGAGGATTTGGGCCGTTGCTATACTGTGCGATATGCCAAAGGGGATAGATGCTCCTTGACGGAATCTGTTGGCTATAATGCAATATGCACTTAAAAAATTGATTAGAGACTATTGAATAAATTGAATAAATTCTCACTAGTTAAGAGCTGAATTTTCCCCTTCTCTACCACACAGAGTAAAACCTAGTTTCGTTTCGCCTGTCACAAACAATCAGAGTACCTGCTGTGAAAGAAAAATAGAGTAGTGTACATTTTGGGGAAAAAAATTCCTTAGCCCTGTATAACACAGGCTGGTGATGTTCAGCGGTGTGAAGTGGAAAGCCTGAGGTTGCAGCTGTGGTCAGTGCAGCGCTCAGCCTCTGAGCATCAGTCGCAGTTTTACTGACAGGAACGACATCATTGACAACAGCACATACCAAGATAAAGATTTTTCTACATTAAAAAAAAAAAAAGTGTGATTTTTTTTTTTTTTTTAAGAAAAAAAAAAAGAGTGCTGCAGTGCAGTAATTGATACCGCGACGGAATTTTACTTCTTTGTGTTGGCATAGCTTAGTAGTATTTTTTCACTGTATGGCTATAGATTTTTACATTACAGAACTATAATGATTATTGAATTTTTTTATTCTTACTGCTTTCTCCCTTTGCATACAGGTTCTGTACGTGAAAACTTGTTGCAGTAGCTTACCTAACGAAGGGATATTGTCAAGCTTTTAGGATTAACACTAGCCATATTGTACTTTTTAGAAAAAAACACAGACACTTCCACAATCTAAATAAATGAGAAATAAATTATTATTTTTAATCTTCCACTTCAGTACTGTAAAAATGCAGAATTCTTGAGTATTTTCATTACCTGCAGCTGTAAAAGATCACAATAGTTTTTGACAAAACTTTAATTATAAATAAGTATTTTTTTAAATGATTCAGTAACACCCTTTTGTATTTTTTTGAGGTTCTTTATTTCTTATATTAACAACTCTAACATGTATAAAGGTAGGCATGGGCAATGTTCAGCATAAGTCTGTTAGTGAGGTGTGGCCATTAAAAAAGCTGTTTAAAGTTTTAAAATTTCAGTCAAACTTAAGCCTTTGTTTTGCTGTTGTGGTGTCACTAGTGAGAATATTGTTGCTGTGGAATAACGTGCTGCGCGTTAGCTGTAACGGCAAATACCTTGTAGAACTGAAATAGTTCTTAAATGTGTTTCTGGCTCATGAAAAACAAAAAGTTTGCAATTGAGTCTGACGCATCTGGTGCTAGCTGAACAGCAGGTCCTTCTGCCCACACACAGGTGTTAGTAGTGTTCCAGGGCAATGGTCGGGCCAGTTCAAGGGGTCCTTACTGTAAAGCTGACGCAGTTTAACTCCGAGCCCCAGACAGGTGCTCATGGAGCTGAGTTCAAACAAACACCTAATGCTCGGTGTGGTGTGCCCGATGCTCTGGAAGACTCACGCCCTAGGAGTGGCGAGAGCCCGAGGCACAAGTCCTATATCCTAGTTTTCTTCCACTCGCCAAAGAGATGCAACATAGTCATACAAGCGTTTCCATGTCCCTCAGAGAATTTGTCATCTTATTAAAGTACTGAGTTGTAATGGGTGAGTTCTTAATGTAAGTAGTGAGTTTTTAGATTTCATGGTTCCTTGACTAAATATTAAAGTGTTACTGTTATATACAAAAAAAAAATCATAGTATTTTCCTATCTCATTTATTTAAAATAAATGTTTTGAGAGTTCAGTTTGGACCCTTCCGAGATGAAATTTGCAAGTTTTTATCCTAGGATGCGCATACACTTTTGCCGGTGGCTTTCTTATTGTGGTCACAATGCTCGAATTGTGCCTGGGGCACCTGTAAGGGCATCCATTTGTGGATTATTCTGAGAGAATTCTTACCACTCTGTGTTCAACCCATCAGACTTAACCACATCATTTCTAGCTTCTACATGATTCAGATGCCATTTCCCACCTAATTTTGGAGTCCCCTGTGTTAGGAAGGCAGAGTTTTCATTGGCATGAGTTCATAAGTGTCTCCTCCAAGTATCCTCCTCAAAAAAAGTCCTTAGCCTTGAGGGTTGGTTTGGGGAGGAACCGAGGGGGTGGGAGGGGAGAGTTCCTCCCGTGTGAAGCAGCAGTATCTCAGGCACCCAGCGTGGTGCACTGCACCGCCGTGAAGGTTGTACCAGTGCGTGGCGGGTGCATCAGCAATCATCCGTCCAGGCAAGGCAGGCAGCTGCACTGCAGTGGGAAAAATACGTCGTCCAATAACCGACTGTCCCAGTTACACTTTGTGACACAGAGTGGCAAGTATTTCTCATCATTTCAGTGACTATTTAAGGAAGCTTCTTTTGACTTCCAAAGAGCTTTTCTCCACCACTGTACTTGGTGCAGCTGTGTTGAAAGGCTCGTTTTTCTGTTTTGAAAACAAGCATCCTGCTTCCTAAAAGCTGGAATGGAGATGTAGCTGATTTCCACCTCACCTCCCCAGGGGATTCATTAAATATTTGGCAGAATGCTACCTCTGTGTTTGTAATGTAGCCTCTGACTTTTGGAAGCTGTGGTTAACAACACTAAACCATGTAACACGGAGCATCGCTTCAACCACTCGCTTTGGCTTAAACCCATCCCGCAACACCATTTTTTGTCAATCAGCTCATTTTCACTGCATTTCCTCCTTACCCTTCTCTCAAAATAGCTTCTGAATTTGTCTATCCCTTATTTGCAGTTCTCTTCCCAAACAGAGGGCTACAAAATTTGTTGGAAACAGCCCAAGTCTGTCACTAGAGTTAAATTTATTTTTGAGAAACATACAGGAGATCATCTGGTTCTCCTTTTGACTTCATGAGCACAGACTGAAGACTTCTGTTGCGCAACAGCCTTCTTTCTGTCTCTTGTCTGACTTGGTCAGCTCTCTTGCTAGAGTTTATGCTTGTACAGAAATAATGCATGACCTGAACTGGACTTAAATTCCTGTAAGCCAGAAATACATGAGGAGAAATTAAATGGGTTTGTGCTCCCTCCTTAGACTAAACGCGCTCTGTGAGCACACATAAACGAAATGTAATGAATCCTTGAGAAAATCCATTCATTTCAGGTTCATGAGAACTTTTTTGATTCTCAGCAGTCCCGTGTGGAGATGGATTCTCAGATTCACAATCAGCCTTGAACATCTAACCATTCTATGCTTCTATCTCCTGTCTGATGCACCCCTGCGGTTCTGAAGAGTACCACTTCATCTCCACATACAAATCTGCAGGTCAGATTTATGTAGTAACAAGTGATTTGGATCACTCCTCAAATTCTTTTTATTTACCGTCCCAAAGTACTGGTTGGAAAAAAAATGATGATGCACATAGTGGGGTTTTCTGAAAAAATCCAACAGCTGTTACACATGGTACCTCATTGTAACCTGCTCAGTAGCAGGTCAGAAAACTCAGAATTTTAACAAAAAATTATTTTAGTACTCAATTTGTCAAAATCAGCATCTGTGATGTCTTGATTAAACTTGTGTCCAGTTGTTAGAGATTTCTGGAAAGGAAGAAACTTATTCCTTAAATAATTTATTCCTCCAGTGGCTCTATCTTCTGTGCCCTCAAAGTATCAGTGGTATTTTAAAACCAAAACACCACAAGGAAGGGGAAAGATTATGTTTTGAACTAGGAAACATTTCTTTTGAAGATATTGCTGTACTTGA